GCTCGCCCGCCGCGGAGCCGGGCCCCGCTGCGGCGGAGGCAGGCCACGCCGCGGAGCCAGGTCCCCAGAGCTCCGACGACGTACCCTCTTTGCTCGGAGCGACCGGCATGGGTACGGGAAGAATGGGCACCATGCCCAACAGCAGCTCCTGTGCATTTGGAACAGGGCTCGCTGTCCACGCCGCCGCGGCCTGTGTCTATCTGAGACAGAGGGCCGCCTGCCCAACAGCGGCCGCTGTTGGCTTGGGATAACATTCGTTGTTGGGCATTGTGCCCATTCTTTCCGTGCCCATTTCGGTCCAAATGTTCCTCCTCTGTGGCCGCCCTCTTGTGTTCCAACTGTCTTAGTGTGTCTGAAGACCGACGGGGCCTGGCGGCCACTCGAACGCGTTGGCGTCCGCTCCCGCACGGGGACGAAACACATATCCGTGGCCTCGCGGCCCCGGTCCCCCTTGGGACGCGAACCCGCGGAGACCGGGGGCGGCAAAGAGGGGGGTGATGACTAGGGAGGGGGGGGATTTCATGGCGTGGGCCGTGATTTTTCAGATCTCACGGCGCCTCTTCTTATTTCACTACGTCCTTGGCCCCCTCCCTTGGGCCGCGCTCATGCCGCCGGCCATGGTTTGCACCCCCCCCTCTTGGACACCCCCCTCTTGGCCGCCCCCGATTTGGGCCTGCATACGGTCGAGCATCTGATCAATGGAGCTCCTCAACCAACTTGCTGGAAGGCTGGCCCAGCTTCCGAGGCACGTTTGTCCCTCCAGCTCTCCTCAGCCATGCGCAGAGGGGGGTAGGGGAGAGGATGGGAGGCTTCTTCTAAGCACCCCTGCTTCTTAGGAGGCGAGGAGCAGCCTCCTTCGAAGAAGCCTTCCCCCTTCCCTCCACCCCCTTGCACGCGCCGCCAATCGCCGACGACATGATTTTTCTTTCAGCTGGTACTGTTGATTCTTCGACGTGGGCCCTCAGGGGCTGCTTTGTGGGTCCCCTGATAGTCATATCTGGGGTTTGCAACTCTTTCGCACCTGGCATTTTCGCCCGGTGGCGGACCCCAAGACCCGCACAGATCGATCCGGCTCGGAAAATGACGCAGAAAGATGGGGTCGAGGGTTCCGGTCGAGTTTTTTCGCGATGTTTACTTATCCGCAGCGTCAGATCGCAGGGTCGGGCCCTGGGATTACAGTGGGGACCCATGCCAAGAAACACCCTGCTTGCCTCCAGGGTGCCCTGGGTGTCTTGGGTTCCGATGGCTTCGCCATGGAAAGCGTGACGTTCCCACACCAAAAATCCGTGGACGCCCTGGAGTCTCAGGGCTGGGTTTCTTGTGGAAGGTTTCTTGTGGACTGGCCTCCACTGTATTCCCCCCCAGTGATCACCACCTTCTGGGTCGCCAGCGACGACATCGCCCCAAGTCCCCTCAGGGACGCCGACGGCAGCATGCCACGCGCGATGAAGCCGAATCGACGCCGCGGATGGATCGGGCGGCGCGTGATGGGGGGCGGCAGAGGGTGGGCTCGGCGAGGGGAGCCAGCAAACCTTGTGCGCATTTTCCGGGCCCAGGAGGGCCCCAAAGGGGTGCACGCGAAAGTGCACGTGTCTTCGCCCCCCCCGTTGATCTAGGCCTCCTAGATGGTGTCGGAGTAGATGGGGTCGGAGGATCGCGCCGCATCGTCGATGCGTCGCCGATGCGGCTCGATGCGGAGCCCGATGTTCTCCGCGCAGGCGTCGCCGATGCACCGCCGACGTCGCCGATACATCGCTGATGCATCGTCGATGTATCGCCGATGCATCGGCGATGCGGCGCGATGCTCCGACCCCATCTACTCCGACCCCATCTAGGAGGCCTCTAGTTGATCGCCTCCCCCCCGGAGCCACGCCCAAACAGAGAAGGAGCAACAAGCACTGATGTCAGTGCTCGGGGCCCACGCAATATTGGGGGTCGGCGCCAGCGGGTGTCGGCCAGTTCTCCTCTCGATCCCGTCTGGCATGCTTGAGCTCGAGAGCCGCGTGGAGCAGATCGCCCCCTGGAAGCGAGTGATTGCCAAGGTCTCAGTCCGGAGGGTGTTCTGTGTTTGGCGCCCAGGGCCGAGCGCTGAGCCTGTTGGCGTTGGAAGGTCGCCGTCGAACGTTGCCACCCCTCGTTTCTGGTGCTCGGCTTGGCGGCGCCGAAGAGAACGCAAATCAGGAAAGAGAGGGAACAATCACTGACAGGCCTAAGCCGGGCCTGTCCCTCTGCAGGAGGAATATTCAAAAATAGTTAAAATAGTCAGGGGACGATTGTTCTATCAGTGTTCGATCATTTTGGTGCGTTTGTTTAGTATTTTTAAGATTCTTTCGTCCAAGATTCGCCTGTAGGGGGACACGGACGACCTGATGATGGGCTTAATTTAGCACGCCCCGAACGCTAGGTCCTGTAGTGTTTAGCGGGCTGCTCACTCCTGCATGCAGGGACAAAGCCGAGACTGGCACAGCACCCCATGATTTTGTCCACGCTCCTGCTTGGAGCCGGCTTGGAGCCGGCAAGGGGTCTGACATGTGGCCAAGCAGTGGTTCTGGCGAGCAGGAGGGGAGGCGAGGTCCGAGGTTCTGGGCCCGGCGAGCTTGTCTGCCTTCTTCGACATCCGGGGGCCGTTTACGGGCACCGGGACGTTCAGAAACGGATTTGGGGTGAGAGATTGCGCCAGATGGACCCCAGCACGAGGGGTCCGCGGACCGATTTTGAACGGGTTTGGCCTCATCCATGACGACGTGGGCCAGATGGACCCCAGGAGGGACCAGGAGGGGTCCGCGGACCGCTTTTGAACGGGGCCCCACCGGGTTCAGGCCCCGCGGCCGCCCTCCAGACTCCACTCCACGCCACCGCTCCAGCAAGCCAAGGCGACGAGCGAACGACCCTTGTGCCAGCCTCTTGCCGCATGTCGAGGGCGCGCCGGGTCCAGGGCACTGTCGCCAAGTACCATCGACCAGACGTAAGAGTGGCCTTTCGCCAGAGTGACCTTTTGGTGCGGGCTCAGATGGGTCCCCAGGTGGCCAAAAACGAGGCAGCAGCAGCTGCTTGCGCGCCCAGGTTTGGTCCCCCCGCGGCCCCCAAAAAGCCACGCACCAAAGGTCACTCTTACCCAGGGCCATTCTTGCGTATAACCGATATCAGCTTGCACCGACGAACTAAATATATTACAGGGCCCCAGGAAGTCCCGACCCTTTTCCCCAGCGCCGGCTTTCCGTCTCGAGTCGTTCTCTGACGGTCCTGGGGCCCCGTCCAAGACCCTAGAGGACAAAAGCGGCGATCAAACCTCCGCACTGTTCTTTCCAAGAGGCAGGATGTGTGGGGCTCCCCGTATTGCCGCAGCCTTGGGCGCCCCGTATGCCGCGGTCCCCGCGGCGCGAGCGCACGAGTTCCTTTCCCTCCTGCCGCGACTGCTCCTCTCTTCCCCCTCCTTCCCTGTTTGCACCCGGGCACTGGGCAATGCCGTTGCCCGGCTTGCCCGAGCGCGCGCGCGGACTGCCTCTGCCGCGCTGCGGCGTAAAACGCATGTTCGGGGCTCCCCCCCTCCTTCTCACCACCCACCGAACCACCCCAACCCAACCCGAAGGCTCAAATGTACCTTCGATCTCCCATTGGGTGGGGGGGGTCCGGGGAGCATCGAAAAAATACGCGTGGAACCCGTACCCCCCCCCCAACCCGAAACTTGGGTCTTGGGGTCAGGTTGGGGTGGTCTGGTAGATAGTCACCTTCTGCCAACCCAGGCCTGGGCGCCACTGAGCGTCCGGCGGGGGCTCGCGACGGGGCCCTGGCCGCCTTGGGACAGGGTAATCACCAGCGCGTCCCCGGCAGGTCTCGTCGTGGAGCCCGCGGGCGGCCCGAAGGGTCCTGCGGGCGACCAGTACGACGAGTCGCAGAGCAAGCCCATCTCCGACGGGGAGATCAGCGCGCTGGAGCTGGTGCGGAACGCGGACCTGTCGGGCGCGATGCCCATGTACGGGGCCCTCTGAGGGTGCTCCTGCGAAGTTTCACTTTTCCACGCCGGGCCACCGCCAAGAGTGAAGGCTCAACATGTACGGTTGCTGGCGCCCGCCAGACGACTGATAGACAGTCACGCTTGCGTCCGCGCGTTAAGGCCTGCGCCATGAAAGAGAGTCGATCGTTTTCATTATCATTCGCATCCTGCTGCGTCTCCTCATGTTTCTCCTTCACATCCTCCTGCTCGTCTTCCTCCCCTTGCTCTTCATCGTCCTCCTGCTCGTGCTGCTCCTCTTCCGTATCATACTGAAGCTGCTTGTGTGTCTTTGCGGTTGCAATCATGTTGCCTATTTCTGCTGCTTCTGCCAATTTTGAGGCCCGAATTCTGTTGGAATTGAGGAGCTTATAGGAACGAAGTATGCCAGTGCTAATGTTTGAAGATTCCAAGACGGGCCGATTGTAATCACCCAGATCCTCCTCATCATCATCGCCATCATCAACATAATCCTTGTCCTCGTCGTCGCTTTCATCATCAGCATCATCGTCGTCGTCATCGTCGTCAGCAGCTTCGTCATCAGCATTATCAGCATCATCAGCAGCATCATCATCGTCGTCGCTGTCGTCGTCGACATCATCAGCAGTATCAGCATCACCATGATCATCAACCTCATTATCACCATCACCAACACCATCATATTCATCATCACCATCACCATCACCATCATCATCATCATCATCATCATCATCATCATCATCATCATCATCATCATCATCATCATCATCATCATCATCATCGTGATCTGCATCATCAGCAGCAGCACCAGCATAGCATCGTGATCCTCATCATCATCAGCAGCATCATTATCATAATCAGCCTCATCATCATCATCATCAGCAGCATCAGTATCATCATCATCATCATCATCATCATCATCATCATCATCATCATCTTCATCATCATCATCATCATCATCATCATCATCATCATCATCGTTATCAATGCCATTATTCGCTGCTGCTTCTCCGTTTCATTGTCCTCCTGATGCTCCTCCTCCTCAGCGACCTACATCGGCAGGCCAGCAAGGCCTCCACTGCGACACCGAGAACATTCGATGTTGGCGCAGCAGATATTTCACGCATGATAACAAGAGCACGATAACTCGTTGCCCTCTTTGCTATGCTTGAGTACTCTTCCTGTAGAAGGGGCATGCCCGACTTGACGGTCGGGGGAGGGGGGGAAGGCTTCTGAGAAGCAGGCTGCTTCTTGGAAGGCGCTGGCACTCCATCTCGCCAGGCAGCCCAGCGAAGTCGAGTATCGATGGCCCATGGGGAATATTCCCTTTGATCTCTCAATAGCAAGATGTCCTACCGTCGTAGCTGCCTCCATACGCACGTTTTGAAACACAACACGTTCCATTCTCAAAACGTCCGTGTCAATGCGTGACCTGTTGGCTCAGCGTATTGACCCGTTTTTTGGCGAACGTGCGGCTTCATACCCACGCTGTCAGTCTGCATGTTGAGCTCCGTGTCAATGCGTGACGTGTTGCGTGTTGCGCATCGGGGCAGCCAAGCCTATCGTGTGTGCGTCTGTTGTACGGTACAGTTGGGGCGCTGAAGAAGGAACCCTTTGCGTTGGGGAGGGGCTCGGTGCTCTTTGATTGTTTCACAGTTTGCCTTAGGCTTTCCCTAGGCTTTCGAGGGTGAATCGAAGCTGAACTTGTGCGAAAAGGGGCCTCGTTCCTTATGTAGGGCTCCTCAGGTCAACGCCCCGACTGTACGCTGCCGCCGGCCCACATGGGGATGGGAAGGTGCTGGCCACGTATCAATACGTGACGTGTTGAGCTCCGTATCAATACGTGACGTGTTGAGCTCCGTATCAATACGTGACGTGCTGCGTGTTGCGCATCGGGGCAGCCAAGCCTATCGTGTGTGCGTCTGCTGTACGGTACAGTTGGGGCGCTGAAGAAGGAACCCTTTGCGCTGGGGAGGAGCTCGGTGTTCTTTGATTGTTTCACAGTTTGCCTTAGGCTTTCCCTAGGCTTTCGAGGGTGAATCGAAGCTGAACTTGTGCGAAAAGGGGCCTCGTTCCTTATGTAGGGTTCCTCGGGTCAACGCCCCGACTGTACTCTGCCGCCGGCCCACATGGGGATGGGAAGGTGCTGGCCACGTATCAATACGTGACGTGTTGAGCTCCGTATCAATGCGTGACGTGCTGCGTGTTGCGCATCGGGGCAGCCAAGCCTATCGTGTGTGCGTCTGCTGTACGGTACTCTGCTGCCGGCCCACATTGAGGAGGGAAAAAAACACACAGACACAATTAATCGTCGATTCCCCAGAAAATATTGGAAAATATGGGAAGTGGGGGGGAAGACAAAAACCCAGAAAATATAGGAAAATATGGGGAATTATTTTATTTGTGTGTATTTAATTGTGTGTTTGTGGGCCCCTTCATACATGGGGATGGGCAGGTGCTGGCCACGACGCCGGAGGCGGCGAGGGTGCACGTCTTCTCGGTCTCGCGGGCCGAGGTGCCGAGGCTCTTCGGCCTCGACACGTTCACCGACGGGGAGACCAAGTGCCCCAGGACCGCCGGGGCGGCGTCCTCGGCCGCCCGTGGGCAGGAGCGGGGAGGGCAGGTAGAACGACGCGAAGATCGGGACAAAATCGGATCGGGATGACTCGAAATCTCTGAGAATCGGCGGGTTTGGAGGATGTATTGGGCGCCGCGGCCGCTCCAGAGCGTTCCGGAACGCTCTGAGAGCGCTCCGGAACGCTCTGGAGCGATGTATCCCGATCCTAGCCCTGTTTTAGTAGGGCGCCGGGAGGAGGGCTTCGAAGAAGGAAGCAGGAGAGACCGCACAGGCACTGTGCTGTTCCAGCCTGCTTCAGCCTCAAGTAACTTCGGGCACCAGGGAAGTACCGAAGCTGGAGGGTTTTCACGCGTCGGGCCCTGGGAGGCGAGACTCGCTCGGCACTGTTTCGATACCTTTCTGGGTGCTCGAAACAATTTCTGGGATGTGGTCCTTAAGTACGACGGGGGCAACACGAAAATTAGCCTGGCGAAGGACCCAACCATATGCAGTTGTGAATACCGCGATTGTGGATCTCATCTTCGCTCGCGCTCCCTATGGGGCCACGAACCGTGTGAGGGGGCGTGCCGAAATGCGTGGCGGGGTCCCCAATGCGAACAAAGACGATCGCTCTGAGTGCGCGAGACTGAGACCGGGTGAGCCTGAGCGCGAGTAAATCTGATTGTGAATGTGTCTGCGTGCGAATCAGTCTACGTGCATCAATGTCGACGCCCATGTCGGCACGCCCCTCACGAGGATCGCGCCCGCTTCCTTCCCCTTTTTTTTCTGCCTCTTTGCCCGTGCACGCCGATGTCCATGGCTGCGGGCGCGGCGCCGCACTGAGTCCCCGCGACGCACGCTGGTCGCCCCGAAGGGGTCCCGGCGACGCGCGCGGGTCGTCCGCTGCGCGGAGCAGAGAGAGTGCTAGCTGGCTGGGTGATATCGGGCAAGACTGTGGCCGCTGGGCAGAGCGACGACGGGGGCGAGCGAGGCTCTGGGCAGAGCGCAGCGCGGAATTCCCGCGACGCGCGCTGGTCGCCCCGAGAGGGTCCCAGCGACGCGCGCGGATCGCCCGCGGCGCGAGGCCAAACAGTCATACCGTCGAGAGACGGCGAGTCTCGGGCGGGCCGCTCCTCAGGTCAAGCCTCGCGGATAAACTCGGTGAAGCCCATCTCCCTGGCGAGGGCCGTCGCCTCCCTTCTGCACCGCTTCGTGCGCGCCGCAAACTGCTCCAGCTGCTTCCGCAAGCCCTCCGGCGGCCCTGCCAGGAAGAACTCGATGCGCGGCGCCCGCATGAGCAGGAGGTCCTCGTGGCGCGTGGCGCGCGAGAGCAGGACGTAGAGCTCTAGCCACCAGTCGTCGTCCTCCTTCCTGCCGTTCCCCACCTCCTGGCGGCCGCAGTCCAGGATCACGCCTGGGCGATGTCGGCCGAGGGAGCAGCGCGCCGGGCAGCCGACGGCCCAGGGCGAGAGTCCACAGACCGAGAGGAGGTCTGGCTGCGGACTGCTCGCGCCCAGCAGGTCTGGCCGTAAACTGCCCCAGAGCGCTGTTCCCTCGCCCCGTCGCCTTCGCGCATGGCGCGCCCCTGGCACGCCACCGTGGTGATGAACCTGCCGTGCGAGAAGGGGGAGCCCGTTCGGGTGACCTTGGAGGTGCGAAAGGTGAACGGCTCCGACGTGCGACGCTCGATGAACACAAGCTTGCCCGTGAGACCGTCGTGGCGACGACGGGCCTCCGAAGGCCAGGAAGCTTCGAGCCTGGATCCTCGAGGTTCGCGCTTCAAACCTCGACGTGAACCTTCGAAAATGCCGAAGCACCCCCGTTAGCCTTTCACGACGAGGACGCCTTCGGGTACGACTACGAGTACGACGACGAGGAGGAGGAGGACGACGACGGGTACGACGAAGAGTACGACGACGAGTACGACGACGAGGAGGAGGAGGAGGAGGAGGAGGAGGAGGAGGACGACGACAGTAACGACGACGAGTCGTCCTCCTCGTTCTCGTCCTCGTCCTCGTCCTCCACGTCCTCCTCGTCCTCCTCGTCCTCCTTCTCTTCCTCCTCTTCCTCCTCCTCCTCCTCCTCCTCCTCCCTCCCTCCCTCCTCCTCCTCCTCCTCCTCCTCCTCCTCCTCATCTCATCCTCATCCTCATGCCTCAATCGTCATCCTCATCCTCCTCTTCGTCCTCACCTTACATCCTGGTCCTGTCGAGGGGTTGTGCCCAGAATGGGGGTGGGGCGGCGGCGCCATGCGCGGTTCCGCCACTGTGGCCGTAGTGGAGCTCCCTATGGGGCCACGAAACGTGTGAGGGGTGTGCCGAAATGGGTGCGGCGCCGCCATGCCAACGCAGCCACTGGGGCCTTCGGTGGAGCTCCCTATGGGGCCACGAAACGTGTGAGGGGTGTGCCAAATTGGGGCGGCGGCGCCATGCGAGTTCCGCCACTGGGACCTTAGGTGGAGCT